GTGATTGTAAGTACCATTTGTTCAGCACTGTCGCAACTCTGAACAGTCACTGAATGGGTAGCTGCTAAACAAGGACCTGTATGCCTATGATCCAACAGAATCAATTGAACATTATGATCATTCTTACCATTTCATGGTCTCCAGTTGCATGCTGTATCTCTCGCAAGTGATTTTCTCAATTTTTCTTCATGTATAGACATATATTGATCAACAATTTCTCCAGCCTTTCTTACTTAAAATGCAAAATAAAGATACAATTTATTCGGATTTTTAAAGAATCCCAGCTGAAATTTATAACCATACAGCAGCATTTTAATCTTGCAGCAGGCCCTATGTATTTGTTAGACACACTGATCCATTAAACAGCTGACCACATTATAGCCTAGTACATTGTGAGATCCCACAATGGCTATTTGCATAACATTCAATATGATTAATAATTTAATGATTAATAATTTAATTAATCCTGACTTTGCATCAGTCATACACTGCCCTAACTTATTGGGTTTGGATAACACAACAGGCTAAAATGTGGCTATGTTGTTTACAGTTCTGTCTGTTGTGCAAACTCGGCTTCCTTAGCTAATATACTACATAAATATCTAATAGCACCTGACTATAATCAGATCAGCAGGTTGCCTCTGATGTTTTAGTTCATTCTGACAGTTTGTCACAATTTTTCCTAATTAGTGACCTCCAAGTGTGTGGGACCGCAGTCTTTACAATCATCCAGCCACTTAGAGGCTCCAGTTTGGGGAAGGCTAATGTACACTTATGAACAAAACAGACCACTGAAATTGAGAGCATAGATATTGCCAATAGAAGTGTGGCCTTGCTTTCATTGTCTGAAAGTGGAGTTGGGAGAAGGAATTATTCCTAAATATAAAATTCTCTTACACTATTCTACTATTTCATTAAATGTACATATTTCTTCAGGGACTCTGGGCAGTTATGTTATGTACATCTCTTTAATCAGACAGATCTAGCAGTGAAGAACACTAGGAATCTGTTAACAAAATTAATAATCACAGGATCAGGCCAGAAAGTCAAGACATAAGGGGCAAATCTCATCCTAATTGTTGCCAAGAAATCCACATGGATGTGTCATAGAAATCATCAGAAGCTGAATTTTGTCAAGAAGATTTTACCTACATCTTAAGTAACCCACAATATATATACCAAACCATAAAGAGTTCATTATAGCTGTATATACTCAACACCCTAGCCAGTGGCTTACTAAATGAATCCAATTACCTGCATTTGCACAAAGCGATTCGCTAACAGGATTCACACAATTCCATCCTAACCAACCACACTGCAAATTAGCAGGTTGTGTATGTCAAGCCATTCATGCTGATTAAGTTTGTCTTAGTTACGTCTTCAGTCAAGATGCCGGAAGCCACAATGTGTACAGAATCAAGGCGTTGTGATCCACTTAACGCAACCCTTCTACCTACAGCCTTCACCGTTGTTTACTGGAACACAACTCAGTTACCATAGTAGCCAATCAGCCCCCGCTACACACACTCTCCCCGCACAGATAAGAATCAACTTTCTAATCCTCTGGTAACGAGCCACTTAGAGCTTCTTAGGCACCCACCCATCCCGGTTTCCCCGTTTCCCGTCTTCTCCTTTGAAAAGAAGGAACAGCCTACCACGTGTATCCCAGGCTGGCCATCAACTTATCAAACCACGGAATTCCTCGCTCTTTCCCCACAACTGCTGCAAAGACTCCCGCCTAACTCAGTCCGTGTGCTTTCCGGCACTGACGAAACAGGAAACACCGGGCTTCTCCCCGGGAATTATTCGCAGAGCTGGAGAAGCCGGGCTATTGCGGGATGGTGTTTCTGGAAAACGTAACTTGATTGCCTAAAATTTGCGAGGTTGTTATTCCTGGATAATCCAGTTTGTCAGCAAGAGCCGAACCGTGTGCGGTTTCATCCTTCTCACCGTCTACCGGCGACGTGTTGCTAAATGGCTATTATACTTAATTGATGGGAGCAGGATCGGCTTTCAGAAGGGCCCGTGAGGATTGATCCAGGACAAAAACTACATGCCTCTGCGCCTTCCCCCCCCCCCCCCCAAGGAGAGGCGGAGGATGACGGCGACGGCCAGTTAGACGCTGGCCTTTCTTACATCCTGGCCCTTCGCACAGGCAATTTTTGCAAATTATTCCAAATGCCATTAACCCCTTCAAAAAGAAAGCTAAGAGAAACAGAACCACAATTTTCTTTCTTACAGCTTCTAATATTGCCCAGTTGCTGAATTTCCGTAGCGCTAATCAGTGTTTCTCAACCTTGACAATTTTAAGGCATGTGGACTTCAACTCCCAGAATTCCACAGCCAGCATTGCTGGCTGTGGAATTCTGGGAGTTGAAGTCCACATGCCTTAAAATTGTCAAGGTTGAGAAACACTGCGCTAAGTGAAGCTGGTGGCGACACTGCCATCTCGCCTTCTGTGAATACCATATCTGTACCCAAAATCCTTTGCTTCATCCTCTTATCCTTTTCTTCCCAAAATAGAAAGCCTCATACTGTTATCTCTTGCAACTTCCATAGGACCTCATTCAGCTCCAGGGAAAAACCCTCCACTTAAAATTAAATTTTTATCATGTCCTCAGTTTGGCCTGCCCTCTTTGCAGGCTTGTTTCTGACAAACCATTTTTCCTGTGATCTTTAGCTTAATGAAAATTACACATCAAAAACTATTAGTAGGAAGGAGCAGATGGCTTAGCGAACACTCGGAAAAGTATGTTTTACTATTTGAAAATTAGTTTATTAAAAATACACCACATATTCTTCACAAGATGTCAAATAGTCTTTTATTGCAGTTTTTCATTTCCAGTCAGTATTGTACACAGAAATCCAGTATATTAAGTACAGCTATATTAGATGTATCGATAGTTAGCACATTAAAATTATAAACAGTTTTTGTTTCAGTTGTAATATGTAATATTTTTCTTGCTCAACATTTGCAGTATAAGAGCACATTTAGCTCTTGAGCAGGGATACATATCTAAGAAATCAACTCTCCAATGTTATGAAATTCCTTGGTTTGTGATCCAAGTCTTGATTTGTTACTGAAGCTGAATCCATCCTATCTGCTGCAATTTTGTCATGGTAATTTCACACAATAAAATTCTACACAATGTTAAAATGTTAGCCTGCTAACAGTAATCTAGAGCTGAGATCCTTTAATGTGGTAACCTGTTCTCTGTAGCCTTCTAAGAGCCAGACTGTAGGCTGATGGGCCCACCAGTTTGGACTCTCGTCTATGATTATATGGGGCAAAAATCCATGTTCCACCATTTAAAAAAATTAAGTGTTTCAGGAAAAAAAGCCTATGAGCAAAACCAGGCATAGGAATCTTAAAATATACTTTTCAGTTTGTGTGGAACAAAGATTTTCCCTTCCCAGCGACTTTGCAAATGACAATATTGCTATGGAATGGGACTCCTGACATTTTCCCATTCAATTTTCTGCCTTGAGAGAGATCTTGCCTGTGTGCTATAGACAATTTTATGGGAAATGTAATATAGAGCATGTGCATGCCATTTGGAATGCAGAAAGTGAAATGGTACACAAACATTAAGAATGACACAGATTGCACCCATAAGGTAATCATCCATTCCTGGAACACCAAACAGGTATATACATATAATGTTTGTGCAAGGTCCCTGAAGCCCAATTCCTGACAAGGCTGTGAAAATCTTACAGCAATAGATTAAGTGCAGGTGGGCTTTGACAACCACCACCTCTTAAGATGGCATTAATGCTTAAAAATGTGCAAGACCATTTTCAAAGGAGCTTCCAGAGATGTTGCTTCTACTCAATAACTGCCTTCTAGAACTACTTAGTAGTGAAAAACCTGCTACAGATAATACAGCTTCTGCAGATGCTTAAAAGGCTCACAGACTGATCCTTTTACACCAATCTATAAAGCTTTTCTGGTTCATTAAAAAGGATAGTTTCTGAACATAATTAAAATTGCATTTTGTTTCCTTGCTCTAATTCATTCAATATTTAATTGTGTTTGTTTTTTTTAAAAAAGTGAGAAGTCTACAATTACTATCCTATGGCTATTTGGATTTGCCAAGCGCTTCAGATGTTCACAGGGCAAATTATGTTATTTCAAGAAACTAAAATATATTCAAAACCAAACAAATGTTATCACAGTTTAGCTTGCAATGGCTTCAGGTGTTTGTGGAAAGATTCATGGACCTAGAGGGAAAAAATAAGAGGGNAGATATTGGAACACTGCTATCATGTCCCCCCTCGTCCTTCTCTTCATTAAACTAGACATACCCAATTCCAGCAGCCTTTCCTTATATGCTTTAGCCTCCAGTCCCCTAATCATCTTTGTTGCTCTTCTCTGTACTCTTTCTAGAGTCTCAACATCTTTTTTACATCGTGGTGACCAAAACTGGATGCAGTATTCCAAGTACGGCCTTACCAAGACATTGTAAAGTATTAATACTTCACGTGATCTTGATTCTACCCGTTAATGCAGCCCAGCACTGTGTTGGCCTTTTTGGCAGCTGTAGCACACTGCTGGCTCATTTAAATGATTGTCCACTAGGACTCCGAGGTCCCTCTCACAGTTACTACTATTGAGCAAGGTACCCCCTATACTATACTTGTACATTTGGTTTTTCTTGCCTAAATGTAGAATATCTGTACCCAACATCCTTTGCTTCATCCTCTTATCCTTTTCTTCCCAAAATAGAAAGCCTCACAGTGTTATCTCTTGCAACTTCCATAGGACCTCATTCAGCTCCAGGGAAAAACCCTCCACTTAAAATGAAATTTTTATCATGTCCTCAGTTTGGCCTGCCCTCTTTGCAGGCTTGTTTCTGACAAGCCATTTTTCCTGTGATCTTTAGCTTAATGAAAATTACACATCAAAAACTATTAATAGGAAGGAGCAGATGGCTTAGCGAACACTCGGAAAAGTATGTTTTACTATTTGAAAATTAGTTTATTAAATACACCACATATTCTTCACAAGATGTCAAATAGTCTTTTATTGCAGTTTTTCATTTCCAGTCAGTATTGTACACAGAAATCCAGTATATTAAGTACAGCTATATTAGATGTATCAATAGTTAGCACATTAAAATTATAAACAGTTTTTGTTTCAGTTGTAATATGTAATATTTTTCTTGCTCAACATTTGCAGTATAAAAGCACATTTAGCTCTTGAACAGGGATACATATCTAAGAAATCAACTCTCCAATGTTATGAAATTCCTTGGTTTGTGATCCAAGTCTTGATTTGTTACTGAAGCTGAATCCATCCTATCTGCTGCAATTTTGTCATGGTAATTTCACACAATAAAATTCTACACAATGTTAAAATGTTAGCCTGCTAACAGTAATCTAGAGCTGAGATCCTTTAATGTGGTAACCTGTTCTCTGTAGCCTTCTAAGAGCCAGAGTGTAGGCTGATGGGCCCACCAGTTTGGACTCTTGTCTTGTCTATGATTATATGGGGCAAAAATCCAAGTTCCACCATTTAAAAAAATTAAGTGTTTCAGGAAAAAAAGCCTATGAGCAAAACCAGGCATAGGAATCTTAAATATACTTTTCAGTTTGTGTGGAACAAAGATTTTCCCTTCCCAGCGACTTTGCAAATGACAATATTGCTATGGAATGGGACTCCTGACATTTTCCCATTCAATTTTCTGCCTTAAGAGAGATCTTGCCTGTGTGCTATAGACAATTTTATGGGAAATGTAATATAGAGCATGTGCATGCCATTTGGAATGCAGAAAGTGAAATGGTACACAAACATTAAGAATGACACAGATTGCACCCATAAGGTAATCATCCATTCCTGGAACACCAAACAGGTATATACATATAATGTTTGTGCAAGGTCCCTGAAGCCCAATTCCTGACAAGGCTGTGAAAATCTTACAGCAATAGATTAAGTGCAGGTCGGCTTTGACAACCACCACCTCTTAAGATGGCATTAATGCTTAAAAATGTGCAAGACCATTTTCAAAGGAGCTTCCAGAGATGTTGCTTCTACTCAATAACTGCCTTCTAGAACTACTTAGTAGTGAAAAACCTGCTACAGATAATACAGCTTCTGCAGATGCTTAAAAGGCTCACAGACTGATCCTTTTACGCCAATCTATAAAGCTTTTCTGGTTCATTAAAAAGGATAGTTTCTGAACATAATTAAAATTGCATTTTGTTTCCTTGCTCTAATTCATTCAATATTTAATTGTGTGTTTTTTTTAAAAAAAGTGAGAAGTCTACAATTACTATCCTATGGCTATTTGGATTTGCCAAGCGCTTCAGATGTTCACAGGGCAAATTATGTTATTTCAAGAAACTAAAATATATTCAAAACCAAACAAATGTTATCACAGTTTAGCTTGCAATGGCTTCAGGTGTTTGTGGAAAGATTCATGGACCTAGAGGGAAAAAATAAGAGGGGGCATTAATTTTAAAGACAAATCATACCTCACTTCTTACTAGAACAATGTATTTCCCAATTGCACACTGGACTGCTACTTTAGTGAGTTCAGCTATACATGTACAATTGCCATTAAGCATAACACCATATATAGTGAAAATAATAGCATCAAATCAATTTCTACTAATAGAAAGAAAAAAGTCCAGCATTCTCTAATATTTTGGCAGAAAAAGTAGATTATAGTAATAATAGATTATAGTAGCATAGTAGCTTCCTTATTCAGATAGCTTTAGTTGCTATTAAGTATCCCATAACCAGGAAAAATTATACAAGTATTCAAGAATTACATAAAATGAACTGTTTTTATCATTAGCAAAAAACCATATAGCATTTTTTATTGATATTGTTGGATGATCAGTTTATGAAGTTGTAGATCAGTATAACCACATATTCTCTTTGCCATCATTTTCAATATAGCAATCCTGGCTTCTGTAAACTAGTTCCCCATTAGAGCTAAATAAGTTACAACAGGAATTCCTCCTAAGGAAAGAGCACAGAATCATAATATATTTCCGTAACTTCATAAAACAATAGTTTATGAATCTGCAGATGATCATTTCTATACATCTGCAGGTTCATAAACTATACATATTGGTGAACTGATTTTTAAATTTATGCATTTTTAAAAATATTAGCTAATAATCGCTTTTTATTGCTACAGGTAATCCTTGACTTACAAAAACAGCTATTGAGACTGGAATTTCTGGCATTAAGCAATGCGGTTGTAAAATACATTACATTAAAATACAATGACACTGTTTAGTGATGGCAAATTCCTGTAGTCCTGTTATTATGGTTAACTGAATTTCATGGTTGTTAGGCAAGGCAACTTCCTGCTGGCTTCCCACAGCTAAGTCAGTGGGGAAACCAGCAAGAAGTTGCAAGTCCCAGGTGGCTTACACCAGGGCTTTTCAACCTTTTCACCCATTGTACCACTTTTAGGATATGGCAACATCCTAGTACCACGAGTCGCCTAGCAAGGTGTCAAAAACATGATGACCCCCCCCAAAAAAGGAAAAAAGTGATAAAGTACAGGTAGTCCTCGACTTACAACAGTTCGCTTAGTGACTGTTCGAAGTTACAATGGCACTGAAAAAGGTGCCCGCCAAGCCACAGCTGAGCAAGACACCTGCCTGCCGGCCCGGTGGCGCTCTTCCTCCTGTCCGAGGTTTTCATTGTGAGCATTTCTGTTGAGGATTGGCAGCGGGGGTGGGGTGGGGGGCTATTTGGTTTTTATTCCCCCCCATCTGCTGGGTGGTTGCAGTAGGTTTTGATCACTTCACATGATCCTGTGACACTGTGACCGTCATAAATATGAATCAGCTGCCAAGCATCTGAATGTAAATCACAAGACCCTGGAGATGCTGCAAAATTCCAGCTGATCGGCGCTTCTTCTGGGCTCAGCAGAAGTGCCAGGATCAGTGCTGCTTTCCAGCTGATTGGTGCTTCTTCAGGGCTCAACAGAAGCACCAGGATCAGCGCCGAGCTCCAGGTGGAGCCTGGCACTGATCCTGGCGCTTCCACTGAGCCCTGACAGCCCTGCAGCTCCAGCCATCTCTCACTCAGGCTTGTGAGGTACTGCCACCGGTTCAGCTCATTCCCCTCCCCCACTATCACTTTTCTAGGATGGTCGCGTACCACCTGCCAGGTGCCAATGTACCACAGGTGGTACCCGTACCACTGGTTGAAAAGCCCTGGCTTACACGAAGCCTGGCAGGCAGGTAAGTGGATGCTGCTGGGTTGAGGAGGGTGCGAGGGAAATGGGGGAAGGTTTGGAGAGAATGCAGAAAGTGCATGAGTGTCAGGGAAGAGGCGGTGAGGCTTAAGGCAGGTGTGTGGGAATGGCCGGTGTGGAGGCAGAGATGTTGAAGGAGAATATATGAGTGGGAAGACTTACCCCAGTGATTTGCAAGCTTCCCTGCCAGCTTCCCCATTGACTTTCTGAGGAAGATGGCAGGGAAGGTTGAAAATGGCGATCATGTGATCACGGGATACTGCAACTGGTCGTAAGTGCGAGCTGGCTGCCGAGGGGGTTCTTGGATGGCTGGAACTTTGAGGACCAGCCATCACCACTATTCATTCAGCACCTTTATAATCTCAGACTATAGCTGACAGAATGATCATAGATTGAAAACTTGCTGTATGTCTTATGAGCCTTTAGTATCTGATTGACAAAAGCAATTACTTACCTGTGTTTTATTTAGTGGTGACTTCTTTGACCATTCAAACATATTTTCATATACGTTACCATCATATCGGCCAAGCACAGATCCAAGCATAGAATCAGAAAAATCAAAGGAATCCACCAGAGCTACTGCATTAGGACGGATAAGAGCCAAGAGTTCTTTTATGCGCATGTTCACTTGAATTAGCTGGGCCTCCGTCAAAATGCCTCCCTGAAGCAAAAAGAAAAGTTCAGAACAGTCAGAGTTCTACATCTCTAAGTGTTTAGGGAGAATTAATACAAAAGCTGATTATTTCCAGTAAACAAATCTGACCTGAACTTTAATTCTAGATGAACAATTAAGATTGCAAATGGGTATTTAAAAATGGTATTGCTTTTCTTAAGAATAAAATTACTATTATCGTGGTTAACGTTCATCTACTAAACTTTAGTATGATCTCACATAAAATACCTTCCTGCTCCCAATTTTAAGAAGATCCAGATTTAGAAAAGCATCAGTGATATCACTGTGAAATGTTTAGCAGTTACCCTGCGAGCTTTGGTAAGAAATGGTAAGAATTCAACCATTTACAGTTTTTATATCATTTTCATTTAATTTTGGAGGGCTGAAAATGTCATTTCAGCACAATATTTTCAACTTAGACACTGCAATTCCCAAAGGGCAAAATACTGCCTACATGTTTATTTACATTCCATAAATGCCTGCTTTGTATGGCAAAAATATACTCCAAGCCCAACTTAGGGTGTCTTTGTTTTATCCATGCTAATCTAACTTTATCTTTGTTGTCAAATTATACCATCACAAGATTTCTCACTTTTTCCCTCCAGGTCTGATTAATTCACATCTCAACTAGATTCTCTGTCTAACAGAACCATTCAGCTCAAAGTAGAAATTATTTACCCACCTGTAGAAAGTCTCCAGAGTTCTTTATAATCCCACACAGAGCATACAGTAAACACAAATTGTTAAGGACAGCATGGACATCTGGGTCACCAATTTCTGACAGCTTCTCTGTAAACAGTTTGACCACCACATAATGACAGTGTGCCTGAAAAAGTTAGATGACAGATTGAAGTGAGTTCAAGTGTCGTAAAATCCAACAACAATTCAAGAGTATCTACCATATTCTAAGGTGCCACTGACCTCAGATGCTCGTACTAGATCAATCGAAGTCCGATTCCACGCATCTTCTTTGCTTTTCCAACGGGTCAGTTCAGCCTGTAAATTATTTGCTGCAAACTCAACCATCCTGTATTGTAGAAAAACAGGAGCAGAGCTTATTATACTTGGAATTGAGGCCATAAATAACACTCAGGTAGTAACATCTGAAAATTGATATGGCAGTGATAAATAGCCATAGCCTCAAATTTCTGATGGTTGACAAAGCCGAAGATTTAAAATCTAAACTCAATTCAGCTTTTACTCCTAGTGAACTTTGGCCTTTATTCCTACTCTTTAAGATGAACAATAATAATTTCCATTCTCTCACAAAGCGGTCAATGTAGATGTAGATTTTGCCCCATATTTTCAAACATCATTAAATGGAAGACAGTCTCATTCTTATGACCTAAATACTACTTTTAATATTGCTGTCAGCTGATCATAATGAATGAAACCAAGGCTTTTGAAGTGTTAGTAATAGTAACAGTGACAGCTGTTCTGATTTACTTTCCCATTTATTTTATTTGCTGCTCTCCAATGTGTCCTATTTTAATAGTAATAACAACATTTGGAACATCATTGCATGAAAAGGTTTTTATTCCTTCTATTAGTCATAGACCGAGAATTAAGGGTGATATGCTGTTGTTATTAATAATTTTATTAAGCTTATCAAGCTATAAAATACAAAGGAAAATGAAAATACTGGGAAAATGGAGGAGGCAAAAGGGAAGAGAAAGAAGTGTTAAGATAAAGAGGAAAAAAGAAATGCATTGACTTCTGACTCTATACCACAGTAGAATAAAACAGTAACATTACAGCCTCAACATTTTACTTTTACATACTTAATATGAACAAGCCATTTCTATAACAAACTTATCTAATCAGCAAAATCCAAAGTCAAAGGGTGATATAGTATTAATATGTGTTACAACTTGATTGAACATAATAATACCTTCCCCCTTTGCAAGTTCAGCTACATATTAGTTGACAGTAGGGAAGCCATTGCATTTGACCTTGGTCAAAAGTGATCCCAGGATATAACTGTACACGAGTAGTCTTAGTCCCATTGCTCTGAAACACAAGCAGGAATGCTGGAATCTATTAGGCAGCACTGCCTCCCCCCCTTTTTTTAAAGAAGACTATGAAAAAGGGATTTGACTCTTATTTTCTGGGTCAGTAGTAGTGTTTTTAAAAAGATTTTCAGGGGTACTATCCCTTGATCAATTTTTGAAATAACTGATCTTCCAAATCATGCTCTTCTAATCAAATCTTTCTTAACAGGGTTCCGTCTACTATGGGGTCCATTTCAAACCGTTCCATGAAAGATTAATTACTGAGCAGTCTGGCACTTCATTAATATTTATGACTGCCTTCTACCTTGTCCTCCTCTCAAACCTGCAATGTTCTGGCAGGTTCTGCCCTAGCAACATACAATTGCTACACCCCGATACATATTTCTGGTAGTTGTCAATTAGTATCTCACATTCGTCAGTTAGAGCCGGGTCCATTATTTGAACCATGTAAGACAGGGGTAGTCAACCTTGGCTCTTTTATGACTCATGGAATTCAACTCCCAGAATTCCCGAGCCAGCCCAGCTGGCTCAGGAATTCTGGGAGTTGAAGTCCACGAGTCATAAAAGAGCCAAGGTTGACTACCCCTGATGTAAGACCATGTTAGCGGCAACTGCCAAATCCCATCCAGATCAAATCAAGCTGGATGTGAAATTGTTAGAACGGAAGTAGCCAAGGGAGCGGTTTGGTTAATAAAAATTAGGCAAGATGAGCAGTCTGAAATGATGCTGAGAAATTTTTATAACCTTTTATATTGACTGACCTTGAAGCTCTCAGTTTATATGCCTCCACGAAACTGGAAGGATTGTTGATATGCAGAGTCGTGGGTCTAGCAGCCACATGCTGGGGCTGAATATGCTGTCCTGATAGGTCATTCAGGTAAGACATGATGCCACTAACTAGTTGTCCAGAACTAACTTGGGTATAACTTTTGAGAAGGAATCTAAAATGCAAAACAAAATGATTTCATGTCATAAGGCAGTAAGTTACCTTATAATTTTTATCATCAGCTGCACTATAATTTCAAAAAACACATATGGGATAAAATCAGTTTAGACCAGGGATAGGCAACCTTGGCTCTTTTATGACTCGTGGACTTCAACTCCCAGAATTCCTGAGCCAGCATGGCTGGCTCAGGAATTCTGGGAGTTGAATTCCACGAGTCATAAAAGAGCCAAGGTTGCCTACCCCTGGTTCAGACTATAAAACACAGATAGGGTCAAAAGCTTCACTTAACCAGAATATTTCACACATTGATTGATTTATGTGCCATCAAATCTGTGTCGATTTTTACTGACCACATATTTTTTCCCCCATGACATTATGTCCCAACCCCCTCCTTTCGGATCTTCCAATAATGCATGCATTGCTACTATAACCGAGCCCATCTGCTTTGCTGCTGGTCACACTCTTCTCTTTTTTTCCATCTTCCACCTAGAATTAGAGCCTACTCTAGAGAACTGGATCTTCACATAATATATCTGAAATAGGGTAATTTGAGCCTGATAATTTGTTTCTCAGATGAGAACTCTGGGTTGATTTGCTCATGATCCACTTGTTTATTTTCTTGGCTGTCCATGGTGTTCTCAAGAATCTTCTCCAACACCAACGTTTAAAAACTTCAACATTTTCCTAACCTGCTTCAAGCAAAAGTCCAACTTTCACTTCCGTAGGGTGTCACAGGGAATACCCATGCTTGCACAATTCTGACTTTGTAGAAATAGACATGCATCTGAATATCTTTTCCAAACCTTTAATGACTGCTCTACTATGTGCTAATCTGGGGCATACTTCTTGATTGCTTGTTCCTTTACTGTTGTGATGTTTGACCCTAAAAGACAGAAGCTACTGTATGTACCATTTTGATACCTTGATTATCATTCTAAGAATGGTTGTTCTACCTGTTGTCATTAGTTTGGTCTTCTTTCATATAATTGTAGTCCTCTTTTTTTCACCATTTTCTTTGACTTTTTATTAGTAGACCTTGCATATCCTTTGCATTTTGGGCTATTAAAATAGTATCTTCAGCAGAGGTTCAAGTTATTATGTTTCTTCCTTCTTGCTGCCTGACACCATCGGCCCCCCCACACAGAGGCCAGTGAGCGCATGGAGGCCGACAGTGTCCGTCAGCAGCCACAGCCTGCTGGCCCCTTGATCGACACACTCTGGGGCTCAGCAGCCCACTGCAAATACCAAGACAGCCCTCCAGCAGCAGGCGGAGTAGGGGAGAGGGGAGGCACGTGATGCAGACCGCCAGATGCACCTATTCTGTCCCATCTGTTTTTGCTTGTGATTGGAGAGCAGGTCATTGATGGTCATCTCCTTGGCCCCCTCGCAGATCTTGCCCTTGGCCCGTGCATGGAGCCTGTTCCCCTTGCTCACCCGATGCACCTTGGCCCTGCCTTGGGCTGCCGCCACCAGCTTGTGAAGGTCCATTAGTCTGCCTCTGCTGCCCAGAGCAGCAGGCCTGCCCAGCACAAAGAAGATGAAGCAGCCAGCTAGGAAGCTCCAAGTAGAGGTGGTAGAGCATGCCCAGCAAGCAAAAGGCCACTCTGAGCAGAGAAAGCTGTATCCCCATCAGCACCATGGCCGCCCAGTCACAGCTGGATGGCGTGCCTCCCCATCTGTGCTGGGCCTGGGCGGCCATGGCACCAATGGGGATCCAGCTTTCCCCACTCGGGGTGGCCTTTTGCCTGCTGGCCTTGGGCATGCTCTACCACCTCTACTCAGGGCTTCCTAGCCGACCACTTTGCCTCTTTCATGCTGGGTGGGCCTAAAGCTCTGGGTGGTGGGCTAATGGACCTATGTGAGCAGCTAGTGGCCATGGCAGGTACTGAGGTGCGTGAGGGGAATGTGCTCCACCCGCAGGCCAAGGGCAAGACCCTCAAGGGGGCTGAGGAGATGACCGGTGGCAACCTGCTCTCCAAACAAAAAGATGGGATAGAGTAGGCATGTCCGGTGGTCCGCATCACATGCCCCCGACTCTGTGTGCTGCTGGTGCTACTGCAGCACTGCTGCTGGAGTGCTGGTCCAGTATTCACAGCGGGCTATGCAGACCCTGCTGCCGGATGCCGTCGGCCCCCTTGCACTCACCACCTATGTGTACGCCTTGGGATCCCCCAGTCTAGGCGGGGTGGGGGCCAGGGTGGCAGGGGCCAGTCCCTCGCCATCTCTGGGGCATCCCCGGGGGCCAAATATCAGCCAATCGTGGGCCAGATGTGGCCCGTGGACCTCGTGTTTGACATGTCTGTTCTAGACAGACTCATCCACCTGACTCCATCTGGTGTAGGTGGAGATACTTTGTTTTACTTTACTGCTTGAGTTTCAAGATTTTAAAACATTGAATTTATGGAGTTATCTCTTATGGAATTTATTCTTATGTTGTCTTAATATGTTGTTCATATTTACAGTAGTGGCCAAAATTGTGGAAACCTTTTGGGAAAAGTGTATTTTTGAGGTTTGATGGCTAATAACACCACTTTTTTTGAAGTAATACCATAAAATTATATATTAATGGAAAGATAATTTAATCAAGAATGTAATGCAACATAGGTTGTTCAATTATCTGTACTGTATTCTATGAAAAGTTATAGCCAAATAACCAGAAAAAGGAAGCATAACTTGCTTAGGTTGATATCAGGTAGCTTTCCTTCATCTGATTGTAGCCAATGAGCATGAGTGTTTAGAGAGCCAATCAGATGTCATCTTGTTTTGGCAATGAGTCAATCAGATCACAGTAGGATTCAGTTATTGATGTCATGTATTGAAGCTGAGAGGAGGACATTTGTCAGTGTGTTATGTGATCACTATCAAGTTGGTTGGATTTTTTTTTCTTTTCATTTAGTGAGCTTGTAAAACGTAATAAAATTAAAGTAATGGTGCAAAGAGTTGACTGGTTGCCCAGAAAGTGATGTAAAATAGCATTATTAAGTGAACAAGGCTACAGTTATAAAGAAATTAGAAGAAAAATTGGTGGAAACGTAACCAAAGGAGGCATTTCTTCTGTACACTTTTCCCAAAAGTTTTCCACAATTTTGGCCACTACTGTAGATGCCAGATGTGTTTGTGTCATTGCACCTGGTCTCTGGAACAGTATTCTTCCCAAACTCTGAACATTGTTTATATTGTTGTTGTAAGATTTGTAAACCATCCAATAGTGTATTAGTGGGGAATCATAGAAATTGAAATTATAAATATAAAAAATTTTAGAGACACCTTTTTATGAAACAAGTGGCCATACAACTTTGATTAATTAATAATAAATACCACCCAGGGCTGTTGAAGGGTGATAAGCACCATTCAATGAGATTCAGTCATTCACTCAGAGACATGAAAAAAATGACAAAGATGATAGAAAGACATGCAGAAAGACACACAGTTAACAATAAGTGGTATGACTCACCGGGCAGTTTGCAACATCATCACAGTGTTCTCTCCTTCATAAGTGCAAGAAGGAGTGAAGTTGACATAAATATCAGGCAAACCACTGCAGCGGGAGTAGCCATGTCCCCCACATGCCATCCGACATTCCTCAATGCCAGCGCTGGCAGTCCAGGAACTGAACGCCTTGAGCCCTGCAGACAGTGCATGCAACTGAGAAAGAAAGTAATTAAGAACAAAGTAATTATTTTTTCCCAGATTTGTCCTGTCACTAAATTCTATCTTCCTGAATTTTTGGTGGGGATGGAAGAGAGAAGAGGTTCAGAATGGTAATCCAGATTATCATCAAGATCAAAATTCTTCCTAGAGATTTTAAAACTCCAAGAAGAAGAGACATTCTATCAAGTCATAAAGCACACTGTACTATCTAGAATTTTTAAAATCTTCAAACCTCAAGTCAGCAGTGCAAATCATAAAAATTCCATCCCAAGGTCTGTCATGTCCACTTTTCGATTTACACCAGTGTTACATTTATTAAATCATTTATATAGCTGCCGAACTCAGAACGCATGACACTGAGCTTTGTATGTACATACATATGCATGTAACACTCACAAAGGACAAAGGCTGCAGGGCAAATTTTCAGGAACAAGTCCAAATCAGAATTTAGGTGCCATTATCAAACTTTTGTAAAAAAAATAGTAACAACTTAAATGACTAGCATACCAGAAGTGGAACCCAATACATATTTTTAATGATTCATTTGCTGGTCTAAACAGTGAGGTTAGAAAAATCATCTTGAGGCCCTAATCCCAGTTGTGAGCTTATCCATCTCATTCATTCTCATTATGAAAACATTCCACAAAGGTGTTCTAAATAGGTGAGGAAGAAAAAGGGATTTAAACTGAGACACTATCAATCACTTCTAAGAATTTATCTGTGATACTCATAGCCCCTCTCTCTTTTTTTTCTGATTCTGTTTCTTCCCAGGAATTATCTTTATTCCATTGTCTTGAAAGAACGAACTAAGCCATATAGTTGTCAATGGCAAGATTCGGTGTTCTGTAAGATCATGAGCCCCACCTCTGGCAGTTCACTCAAGTCTCCATCCTGGATGTTCCCAGTGATGCGATGATATGTATCTCTCATATATGAACCCACAAAGTGGAAAGCATATGCTGTTGCTATGAGAGGAAAGAGTTTGTACTGCTGGGTCTGATAATCCAAAATCTGAGGTTCTGGTTCCCTGGAACAAAGCAAATAAAAGAGAGAACTAAACCACTATAACGCTATGATTTAATTCCTTAGAAAAGGAAAAAAAACCAAAGACTTACACTATCCTAAGGGTATATTCTGACGACAAATACATTCAAAGTACAAATATATTTACTTGTAAAAGTGATCTTGGCTTGGTCCAATGCGTGGCCAATAAAATTACTTCTTATTTTTTCAAAAGACAAAAGAGGTTAAGTAACTAGCAAAATACAGGAGAGAAGTCCAAAAGGGGGAGGGAATGGGAAAAAATAGAAATAGTGAAATAGTTTAGGACATTAATTTAATGGCAATTGTGAACAAATGACTGCAGTTCTGGGACAATTCTATCTTATTCCTGACTCAAGATTTACAGTTTATACTGTGGTTGCCATGCAACTGTTTACCATCTCCTGGCCCATTTTGTATCATCACAAATTGGCAGATCCCCAATAACAATGGTTGCCAATATAGGGCTAGTCCTGACGACAGCTCTGATTCAACTGCGTGCAGTCAAAATGACACAAATGGGGGGGGGGGGGGTTTAGTAGATTTTCTTTTTACAAAGTAACTATTTTTCTGATTCACAAAATCCACAGTGGATGTTAAAATTGGTTTGCAAAATTTGCCAGAAAATTCTGCTTGTTAGATGTTCAAGGTAAGTCAGGTTAAGAAATAGACCCCAGAAGATATAATAGGACCCTTGGAGGTCTGACAGGGTTTTCTCCCTATTACACCAAAGCGATTTAAGGCAAGACAAGTCTGTTTCTTGTGGTTAACTGGTTTTCCTCAAGCTCAAATTTTGCTAACGGATCCTGCACATCTTCTCCAAGGTCATTGCTGGGCTTTTCTACACTGTTCTTGACAATGGCACTTCCCAAGAAAACATGTTTTGAAAGTCAGACTTTTTGCTTTTTAAAGAGGTCACACACACACATTTTTTTTCATGGGCAAAACTGCTCTGGGCAAGGTGGCAGAGAGGTTTGCCAATTGTTATGGCATTACGAAAACTGACCTTAGGGATATTATTACAGGCTTCTTACCCAGGCTTTAACTCAGACTGATGTCTCACAGCACTATAGCGGATGGCAATTGTACAAGCTCTGGCTAAACTGTGAGCGGCGTCTCCAACGATAATTGAACGGATGAATACCATGGTCCCATATGTCAGCTTGGCATTGAGAGGCTTCACATATGTGCCATCGGGTTCAACCTAGTAAAATAAAGCAGGGAAGGTGGAAAGAGTTTGTCCACCAAGTTTGTAAGATTATAAAAACCAACATTGTACTATGTCACTGGATCTACTAAAAAAATCTTGTTAGGCCCCTATTCAAAAATATTAGCATTTTATAATTATTTCTACTAATTGGTGTTATAAATGAATGTTTTGGACATCACTGACATGAAGCAACAGGTAAGTAATTTAAAATTAACAAACTTGCATAAATCTATTTCCCTAATTGTCTCTTGCTTGGCACATGTTGTGAAGCCAATGACATCACCGTCATGCTAACTAGGTCATATTATCTAAGCAGTTTCACATACACTGACAACAAAATTAATAGACAACAGTAGGATAGTTAAGTAATACAGATGGCTAGTAAATTTATGAAAAGGAAGACCAGATAGTTAACATGTTATTAACATTCCTTATGTAGGAGGTGGGGGACAGGGGCGGAAGCCAGAATCTATTTGACATTAATAGTCACCCTGCCCTCCCATTTACTGCCTTCATTTGACACAGATTCTTCCTGCTCTATTACCACAAACTGCAACAAACACTCTTGAACACACTTCCAGGAAGTTGAGTTCAAGAGCTGGTTGTGAGAGAGCCAACAGAACTCCCAGACAAATGAGATACAGCTGGATTTTACCTCTGATGGTTCTTTAACACAAACTTGGGGATTGCTTTTGACTATTAGATGATCAATTACCTCCTGAGAATATGAAGCCTTGACTTTGGATAGTTTCTCTCTTAAGCTGTCTGAACAGCTGGCATAGATAAATAGCAAAAACAAAACAAGATTCACTGTTTACCTTGGCATATTTCATTAGCATATTTTCCCGGGGGATACGGAAGTTGTCCATTTTTAAGTAGCCATTATCCATTTCATCATAACCAAATTTTGGGCCAATGTCACCAACGGTGATACCTACAAACAGAATAAGCCAAAGACATTTGCCTGGTTCTTAATAATATTCTTAATACATAACTGAATTGGGGGTGGGATATTCATAAAGTATCCTTTTTCCCAACATCAAGTAGTCCAAAGTGCTAAATGGTGGGAGCACCAAAGATGCAAATTCCAAAACTCTGAACTGAAACTAAGACTTTAAGGCCACAGTTGCAAAAATGTCCATTTGTAGTGATACATAGATATAGTTTTATTTTCTTTCATTTTTTGCTAAAGCATTGATGTTATTTTGTTCCCATCTTGAAAACAAAGTGATATTAAATTCACAAATTTTAAGATTGGAAATCAGGTTTTAATAATATTCTTTTTACTCTGGCAATATTAAAATAAGTTGTTTTGGCTGTGATTTTTCAGTTAGGAGTGAGTATTCAATCTTTGCCCATTCATCAATGTAGAGGAAGACTTCCATACTATCCAGATGCGTCTGCTATGGGTTCCTACATAATGCACCGAGATTCAGAGTTATTGACATCAAATACAAAAGGACCTACAACTTTATTTTATCATAAAGGGCTAATACACACATTTAGGAAATTTTAATGTTACTTGAATTATGAGAAATTAAATCTAATTATCATGTTTCCCCGAAAATAAGACCCAGCTGAAAAATAAGCCCTAGCATGATTTTTCAGGAAGCTTGTAATATAAGCCACATCCCAAAAATAAGTCCCAGTTAAGATCATGAGCCAGACGGCCACATTTAGTACCGTATATCCCCCAAAATAAGACCTAATGCGTCTTTTGGAGCAAAAATTAATACAAGACCTGGTCTTATTTTGGGGAAAACACGGGTAATGGATAAGATTATTTGTAAAAATGGATTCTGTTTAGCAACATTTCCCCCTTTTAAAAATAATAACATGGTAGTTTCGAGTTCCATATTCTTTACAAACTACTACCGGTATTCTTGTAATGCTAATAACATGCTTTGAGGAAAACTTTTGTGTTCTCTTAAAAAAGTATATCTAACTTGGTAACATCTGTTAATTATAAGTCAGAGTTTTTAAAGCATTTTACTATGTACAATTAATCATTTTAACTAGAAAAACCAATTTTCCTTGGTATGCTGTGATATGGAATTGAAAAACTATAGCACGATATGTGTATTTTGCTTTCTTATGAACACTGCTTCTTTTATCTCACTAACTTGAGGACTGCAAGTATTTCCTTACATTGAGTTTTTCCCAACACAATGTAGCCCTTGAAGATTTGTGGTGCCAAATGTTTCCAGCTGGACATCTCATATTGTTTCAATATGGAGTTTGTGATTCATTTATATGGCAGCTAATATGCTAGATATTCACTTGAGCAGACTTTGTCCACCTTTTTTTTTTACCCAGGAGGAAACATTGAAATAATTTTCAGATCTCAGGGAACCTCTGTATAAGAATGGCAAAAACCACGAAAACATTAAAATGCTATTCACTTCTAACCTACACAATCTGCAAGGGCTACAACAGCAAGGCCAGCACCTGAATCATGATGTGTAAAAATTCTCACAACTGTAAGCACAAAGTTAAAAAAGAAAACATTGTCTTTAAATCACAATCTCTCAAGGAATCCCTACCAGTCTCTCACACAACTCTAGTTGAGGAAGGGTAGCAATCTAGTAGTGACAGATTTAATACGGTACCTGGTAGTGGTTCATGGGTTCCCAACTGACGTAGAGGCACAATGAAAGCATGTAACCCATGACATTTGTTTTGCGTATAAAGCTGAGCCAAAACAATGGCATAGTTTGATGTCTTGCCCACTGTAAGAAGGGAGGGAAAAAGACAACTTAGCAAATGGAAGTTTATTTGTACAGTCCAAGAAGCATCCTGTGTACATGTTTGACCACTAAAATAATAATACAGACAATAGACTGTTGTAGGTTTTATCATGTAAAAGCACTTCCTTTTACTCCCAAACTGAAATGAAATAGAAGGAATAAAGAATATGCAGAATGACTAAAGGAATATGTAGAACTAGTGAAACGGAAACATTTACTTCTGTCTGATATTTATACTATATTAGCTAATAAAACTAATGTTAATTTTATTCTGTTGAATGTAAGGCTTAGCTCTAAAACAGAAACCAGAATTTTTTTTCTCATATGTCCATAGTATAGAATGGTCAAAAATATTACACAGCCAAAGTTATATTTCAAAACATATCAATAGTTAATTGACTCCACACTTAAAAAGTCTGCAGGAAAAAAAAACAGCTCTTCCTTTAGCTTTAATCATATAATAATACACTTACATCCACCTGGCCACCACTTAATAGAAGTCACAGTTGGACTGTTAAGGATGAATTCCTGGGTAGCAGGATCATAGGTGGCTGTGGTTTCCAGTCCTCGGAGATGGGTTCCTGTAGGCAGGTAGCAAATCTTATTTCAACAGTTGCACAATTCCGGGCAAATGTACATAATTAGATTTATTTCAACAAATTTCATTAGCAATGGAAAGCTGAGCAGTGCAAATAAGAAAACTGCCTGCAAATGTACATTTACATAATGGTAAATAGCAAACACATTACAAGAAAGGCACGTATGAAATAGTGGATGCACGCCATTCTACTAATTGCCTTATTTAATGTAAGAATACTGTCAAATTGCTATACAATTATGCAGCTCCTCTGGTCTTGCTGATTTATCACCATGTGCAAATATATGTTAGGTATCTGACAAGGTAAATTAAAGACTGCCATGATAATTCCTTTCCAAAGAAGCTCTAGGATAAAAATGGCTTTTTCTCTAAATCCAGATATGGTCCTGCACAAAAATCTTCAGAACCAGGTTAAAGTTTTCGACGTTTACTTCTGTAATGTTTTTCAATCTTCTGTAAGAATATGAGCCATATATATATGTGCTGTCTTGAATGTACAAGTATGGCTCTATTGCAAAAGTTAGATTTAGACATGTTGGTTGTCTATCACAGGGCTTTTCAACCTTTTCACCCATTGTACCACCTTTTAGGATATGGCAATATTCGAGTATCACCAGTCGCCTAGCAAGGTGTCAAAAACTTGATGATCCTCCCCCCAAAAAAGGGGAAAAAAAGTGATAAAAGTACAGGTAGTCCTCGACTTACAACAGTTTGCTTAGTGACTCTTCGAAGTTACAATGGCACTGAAAAAAGTGCCCCCCAAGCCACAGCCGAGCAAGACTCCTGCCTGCCCACCTGGCGGCGCTCTTCCTCCTGTCCAAGGTTTTCATTGTTGTGAGCATTTCTGTTGAGGATTTGCAGTGGGGGTGGGGTGGGGGGTGTTCAGTTTTTATTCCCCCCCCCATCTGCTGGGTGGTTGCAGCAGGTTTTGGTCACTTCACATGACCCTGGGACACTGTGACCGTCATAAATATGAATCAGTTGCCAAGCATCTGAGTGTAAATTCAATTCAATTCAATTCAATTCAATTTCAATTCAATTCAATTTATTTGATTTATATACCGCCCTTCTCCCTTGCGGGACTCAGGGCGGTGAACAGGCACATTAATAAAACAGCGATACCATAATATTTAAAAATATTAAAAACTAATTAAATTATTTGTCCTGTCCTAAAACCCACTATAATAATATAAAATTATACCCAATTTAAAATTTTAGAATT